GAAAAGAGAGGGAAAATGAAGAAAAACATTGACAACTTTTATGGGTAAAATTACCTACTAAATTTATCCAAGTGAAGTTAAGAAAGGGATATGGATCGTGTCACTTGAGTTTAAAGCTCAGGTACGATCAGGCCAGCCAATTAATTCAGACTCGATCGAGTCGGTCGACTTAAGAAGACTCCTTCTATAAATAGGAGAAGAAAAACTTAATTAAGACGTAGGGTAGGTTCTCATAACTCCACTTTTGCTATTTTTCAATTGAATTCTTTGTTGACTTAGGCATTGAAGTATGTTGGGCTTAGCATCATACCTGTTTATAATTTTCTCTTATGTGTAGGTGTTCGTCAGAACTCTCGTTACCGTAATACAGATTCACATTCCTACATCAATAATGACATTAAAAGATATCTTGTTTCTTGTTTCTTGTTTTTCGTTTTCTCTTTTTCTCTTTTTTTATTCAAGAAAAATTGAATTGTGTTTAGTAATCTTTGTTGGGATGATGAAGCCAAAATAGAAGACTATTGTCCTATGAAGAAAAAATTTTCAATACTATTGCTAATTCTTACCAGGATTATGATATTTCTTCCTATAAATTATATATCTATTTTGTTAGAGTTTTGTTTGGTTAATAATCCAAAAAAAATTGAGTAGTTGTAGGCAGTGTGTAAATAGATGGATTTGTATCTCATAGGTTTAGTGAGAGTATTTTAATTGTGTAATATGAGGTAGCTATTGTTAAGGGTACTTAATTAGAAGCAAGGTAGTCATTGTGGTAATATCTTGAGTGAAAGGTTCAATATTTCTTCCGTTCTTAATAATTAAATTTCTGCAGCAATTATTTTCATAATTCAATTTTGATAAAGATAACAGTTCTTACAATTTCTGCAAACTTACATAGATGTCCATCTAAATCTTTTTTTTTTCCTTTTTTTAAGAGAAACATAAAAAAATCTCCATCTTTAAATTTTCCCTAACAGCTTGATACAGAGGCGAAGCTGCTGGCAACCCATAAAAGGAAAATGGAGCTTTTATTGGAGTAGCGCTCTCGCTTTCGGTTAGATCTTGCTCTCGCTCTCGACGATCGGATATCGCTCTCGCTCAAGGATAGGAAGTTAATAATCGGATGACGAGTAAGAGAGGTGGAGAGCCGGAGGGAGTGAGAGAGGAGATGTTGTGTGACCTTTGGAGAGAGAGGAGGTTCGAGGAGGAGAGAGGAGGTGTGAGGAAGAGATAAGAACATTAAACCAATAAAATCCTATTTTGAGAGAGAGAAAATGTGTCAATCAAATTAATTGAGTTTTTTTTTTTTTGGTGTTTTTGAGAAAAAATCTAAAAGAATGAGAGAGAAGAAAATAAAAATTTGGAGAGAGGAAGAAGAATGATGGCTTTTTTAAAATATGGAAAAAGAGGGAGAGAACTAGAGATAAGGGATAGTGAAAGTAATTTAGTATTTAAGATGATGTCAACCAAGATTAGAAAACATAACATAGAATTATTTGAAAAAATTGGGTAAAAAATAATACTGTCTCGCTAAGAAGGATTGGGTCAGAACCCATACTATTATACCTTTACAAATTTTTTTGGGGCTATGGTTATGACTGTCAAAGGGTCAATTTAATATACTTCCATCCAAACTTTTCATATACTAATTAAAGTAAAAGTTTTTCTCTCAAAAAAAAATAAATAAATAAAAGTTTGTGAAACCATTTTTTCTTTTTTCGTACATAGATTGTAATAAGATATATTTTTTAAACTTAATTAATTAGAAATTTTAAATAAAGGGTATCATACGAGTCATATGTTGAAAATTAAACATGTATTATTCTAGATACATTATGCATTCCTAGATACATGATACATGTACATGAATTAGTACATTCATGTATTTAATTTTTAAGATGAGTTAATTGTGTGTTCATGTATATATAGATTCATAGGATGGAGTTTATAGATCTAGATCTTTCCATGAAGTACTATTAAATAGGATGATCATTTGTAGTGTGTGGAGAAAGAAAAACAAAAGAATTTATGAGAATTTGTGAATCAAGTATTTATTTCCTTAGAAATTTTTGAAGTTGGTTATTCTCAAATAAATTGGTTGATTCTAAAGTTGTGAGTGTCCATCACACACTTCAGAGGACAAACCAACCACAAACAAGAGAACTTATTCCATAAAAGAGCACAAAAATCTGTCTATTTTTCAATTACATCACTTTCTTATTTGATAGAAGAACTTCACTAATCAATTTGTCCAATTGCTTGCCAGCAGACCCACCAGGTTTATAAGCTTCTTCTGCTTTACTCTTCAACTCCATTACATTCTCCTTCATTTTCTTACCCTTCTCTCCATCCATCAGCTCTCTCACAAGCTCCTCCACTTCATTTCTCTTCACATTGTTATCAATTTCCATCGCAATGCCCCACTCAGTGCACCCATAACGACAATTCGTCTGTTGTTCTGCAAAGAAAGGCCACGAGATCATGGCCACTCCAGCGCATATGCTCTCCATGGTTGAATTCCATCCACTGTGTGTCAAAAACCCTCCAACAGATGGATGGTTCAGCACTTGTTCTTGAGAGCACCAGCTCCCAATCATGCTTCTATCTTTGGTTTGTGTCACAAATTCAGGTGGCAAAATGGCTGAATCTCCCACAACTATATCAGGCCTTGTGATCCACAGGAATGGCTTCTCACTGTTTGCCAATCCCCATGCAAATTCAGTCAGTTGCTCAGCTGTCATCACTGTGATGCTCCCAAAATTTACATAAACCACAGARTTGGGTTCCTTTGAATTCAGCCACTCAATGCATTGTGACTCCTCCGCCCAGAGATTTGAGCCGATGGCTCTTAGTTTTTCATCCTCTATTTGGTTGACAAGCAAGTGGAGTGGGCCAATTGTGTAGAGAGGAGGAAGGATGGAAGAAAGAGAATCCAAAACATCTCGTTCGAGTGGATCATATGTGTTAAATATGATTGCAGAAGCTTGTAGAGATCTGCTGATTTCTTGGTGGATAAAATTGAGCATTATGTCGTCTGAATCTGTTGTTCTTATAAAGCTGGGAAGATCCCTCAAACGTATCTCTTTCATTCCTTGAGTCCATTCAATGGTGTTCTCCAAATACCCATTTGTTATGTGGCTAGCATCTGTTAATTAAAACCAATATATAAGGAGGCTAAAAGTAAATATTCGTGTCCCAAATTCTAGAATTTTATACTAAAAACAATTTGTAGGTTGAAAAATACATTTCTGTGATGATTTAGTTCAACTATCATATGCAGCGGTGTAGTCTTTGTAGTAAAAAGTTTTTAACTTTAATAGGTAACGATTTAGTCAATAAATAAAATTTGTAAGGATTTAGTCCAGCGTTACCAAAAAAATAGTATTGTAGTTTAAATGCTAAAAGGAGATTGGAGCAAAATTGAAAAACGATAACTTTTTCTATATTTACTCTCTTTCCAAACCCAATCAACGCACGTTAATTGCTACGTGGTTCTAAATTCTACCACATTAACTTTCCATTATTCAAAAGGATAATTTTGAAACGTTTATGAAAGGTCAACGAGAGTATTGAAACTTTTGAATGAATAGGACTATTTTWTTGAACAAAGGGAAAAGTTCGAGAGTATGTTTATAATTTAGCCTAGTTTGAAAATGCATTATTTGGTACATGGCACAATTTATTAATCTACATAAGTAAGAAATCTCATTACATCTAAATAGAAACATTTTCATGGTATAGGGATTAAATCGTCCAAAATCATTACAAATTTAAACTACAAAAAGTAAATCATTTTTATTAAGGTACAAGAATCAAACATGCTCCAAATCTTTAATTCTATTAAAGTACAAGACTCAAACGTGCTCTAAATCTTTAATTCCATTAAAGTACAAGAATCAAACATGCTATTTAACGAGATACCTAAATCATACCTTTAAGTGGCACCAATCCCTTCTTTGTAAGCTCCCTATATTGAAAATAGCCAAAGTAGCCACAGCCACTGGCTGTCCAAAATAGAGCATGAGGGATTTTAAACTCATTAGCAGCCAAAGCAGAGAAGGACATGACCACATCCCCAACAACACAGCTAACTGGCGGAGCATCACTTGAGTTCAGCTGAGAAATAAGGTCACACAATGGGGCTAAGCAATTCTTGGTGGTAGATTGGCAAAGTGCAGGAATATCTTGCGTTGAATTGGCATCCGAGAACGGGAGCCCGTCGGGGATGGTTCGGAACTGAAAGTCAAGCAAGCCATCGAGCGAGTTCGGGCCTCTCGACTTGAGTAGCCGCCTGTGGTTGTACTCGGTGTTGACAAAAGTTATGTGAAAGCCTCTGTGGTGGAGAAGCTTTGCCAACTTGAGCATAGGGTTGATATGGCCTTGCGCTGGGTACGAGACACACACAGCGTGGGGTTTAACGTCGGTCTGTGAGATGGAACCCATAATTTTGAAGTCTCTTTTGGGTTGAAATGAAGAAAATTTGGAGCTTGAAGAAATGGAAAAGTGAGGCTGCATTATTCTTATAGCAAAAACAAAGCATTTAGCTGTTTGGATTCATCATTTTTTTAACGATTGATGTGTGTTGGTTGCATTATTCAAGATTCGTATCTGAATAATTTATTGGGTAAAACAAAGACCAACGTGATTCTTGCAGGTGCTGGATTAGGTATGGGGAGTGGGCACTGGGAGCTGGTTGGGGATCTCTTTGAATGAAAATTTTGATTTTAACCATTTGTAAACATCAAATTTATTTAGATGAAACTTAAATTAAAACTTTGAACTAATTAATTTATGGATTAAAATCTTAAATTTAGATAAGTGTGGCTCAATCTATATACCATATTATGTTAGAAGACTGTGAATTAAATTCGAGATGCATGTACGAATGTGGATGTAGCGACAAACATGCATGATAATGAGGATAGACGTCAGTCACATTCTCCTTTGAAAGAAAAAACGGTGCACAGAATCCTCATTAACAATGAATCAATGCCCTTTGTTGACGATGAAATTTGTTGGAAAAATTACTTACCAGAACTTTTCTCTAGCTTCCACAGTTGTTTAGTGAAAACACAATCAACTGTAATAATAAGAGGTAATAAGAAAAGCACACAAACGACACAGAGAATTTATACTGGTTCACTCCAATTAGGCTGACAATGTGTTCTACCATGATTCTGGAATAAATACAATGGACAATACAATCTCTTAAATCTAGAGCTCTCACCAAAAGCCACATAGCTTCTAGGAACTACAACAATAGAATCCTAAGAATACAGGAATGAAAAACTCGACCAAATACCCTCAAGAACTGGTTGTCGATGATGCACTACAATCCTGAGATCTCATCTTTGTATCTTTGTCAAATACTGCCTCAGCACCCACTGAAAACATGCATATATACGTTATGGCCACCCCTCAAATGTGCAACAATACAATTGATAAAGAAAAAACCTAAAAACGAAAGAGGGAATTTATAATATTGTTGTAGCGTTGAGGCGCTACCCTCAGCGTCTCAACGGTCAATTTGGTAATTGCATGCGCCTCTTCTATTTTTCTTTTTAATTGTCGCAGCGTCTCAATACTGTCCCCTCGAACTAACTAGCTCGTGTAGTAAATTCTACAATTTCATTCCTCAATTATTTTTCTTCTATTGTTTTGGCTCCACCAACCCCATCAAGAAGAACGACAACCTACTAATTATGACATTCTATGTCAGAATTTGAAATGCCAACAAGAATAGGTGCCGCGTTACATGTGTACCATACAACAATAAGATTCCCCCAACACATACCCAAGCGGCAAGAACAACTCCATCATCATTGATCTCCACCACCACTTTGGTTTTAAAAATGCCTCACAGGTAAGAAAGAACATGAGGTTTAATTTTATTACAAAACTCTCAAAGTCTCACCCTTAAAACCTTATAAATCCCTCTCTTATTTCTTCCACTATTTAATCAAATTCATCTCATCTCTTTCTCTAAATTTCCATCAACAAACAAAAATTCATCCATGATAGTTTTTTCTCTCTACTCGCTCTCTCCCCTCTAATTGTCTGCTGCTCTCGATTATGACTTCACCGTCGAACTGATCTACAGAAAATTTACCTAATTCGCTGTTGTTCAACCCCTTAGAGAACCCACTACCATCGTCTCATCAATGCCCTCTACCGCTTCATCCGTCGTCGATTATTTATTTTTTAGTGATTTAAATGTTCCCGTCATCGATCATAGATTTGAATCAATTTAATTTAATTTATAATGTAACCTTTTTTTTTTTAACTAACCCATATCCTTAAGTTGAGGTCTAAAACAAGTTATGTAACCCATGAGGCACGTGGGATTTTGGTCATTATCTTCTTTTTGGGACTCAAATAAGATCTCAAAGTAAATTTTTCTTTCCTTTGATGCATTGTAACTTTTAAGAAGGAAGAAAGGTGAAAATTTAGAGAGATGTATTAAGTTTTTTTTTTTCTTTTGAAAGAAAAACATGTATTACTTGTTTATTTGCTAGCTGTATTTTATTTATGAAAAAATTTAATATCAATAGGTGTGATGAGATTTACTATAGCGCGTAAGCAACAAAGAGAGAGAATAAGGATGTAAATTTGGAGGGATAAAAAGAGTAAAAATATATCATAAAATTTAACTATTTACTTAAACTTTATATTTTTATCATTATAAAATAAAACCATGAAATTTCACATGGGATGCAAATGTTTCTTACTAGCATAAATAAAAACAGACTTATAAACTTTTATTCAATATTAGACAATATATAAATTAATTATTTAAGATATTATCATTTATTTTTTTTATAGCATAAATAAAAACAGACTTATAAACTTTTATTCAATATTAGACAATATATAAATTAATTATTTAAGATATTATCATTTACTTTTTTTTTATATACATAATACTTTGAAGTGATTCGAATAACTCGAACCAACTCAATCCGGTTTATCATTCAATAAGAATTGTTTGGGTTGAATAAATTTACAACTCCAAAACTTAAGTTTCGTCTAAAAATTACCTTAACTCAATCCAATCCAATCTATAAATATTTGACTCACTATTTTCCAAATATTATTCTTGAAAATAGTTTGGTGAACATATTTTTGGAAATAGTTTAAAAAACGTAATATTAGAAAAAAAATCCTTAATATAACTACAACAATAAGATTGAATTGCATCAATTTAGTAAATTTGATAAGTTAATTTCTCGTTACTGTAGCCCTTATTAATCAATTTAATTATGGATTAGATTTGCAGCTCTCTCTTTTTGTTTTTATTAATTATTTTATGAATTAGATTTTTGAATGGCACTCGATTACTCAATGATGATTGCCCCACTTGTTTCAATTACTTTTTTTTTTTCGAGTTGATTTTCTGCGTTTCACGTTCAAGTTCTGTGCTAGTCACAATTGTTACTCTATTTAATAAAGTGCTCCGATTATAAGGATCTAATCGGTCTAAGTCACATGACATGGAACTTGGTCCACAAAGCCAAATTCCTTTTTCTTTTCTTTTGGTTTTTTTTTAATTAGAACGTGAAAAATAATGCGACATGAACATATGAAAAGTTAGATTATTATATTTTTATATTTTATTTACTTTTTAATTGTATATTACCACATGTAAAAGTTTGTGACCGCATACATTTGTATATTGTTGTTGTGAAAAACTGGAATTATGTGAATGTCAAGATTGAGAGTGCAGAAAGAATATTTTCCATTGCAAATTCAAGACATCAAGAAATAAAAGAGGAAGATAATAAAAATTGTTGTTATTAATATTATGGGTATATCATGATATTTTATTGATATTTTTTAATCCTTACCTATTTTTTTAATGGTAGAATTCAAATATTGATTCGTCATGTCAAACGTTATAGAAGTGTTGATAAGAATATCGTTGTATAAAAATTAAAAGAGTCGTCAAAGATTTGTCTCTCTTTTATAATAATTTATCAAAAGTAAAAATTGACATAGTAGTAATAAGAATGGTACATTTTATTATAAAAAAAAAAGAATTATACATTTTAAATTAAAATTTTAATCAATAAATACTTCACATAAAATTATCTTTATTTCATATTGATAAAGCCCTTTGACAAGAGAGTAGGTAGGATTATTTTTGTCCATATATTGCCTGTGGGAATACTTTTAAATCATTGCAAGGTGGAGTCTATGCAATAACTTTTAATTTTTAATTTCTATTATTATTATTTTTCTTTTAGTTGTGGAGTCATTGCAATAGTTGATTTTATAATATTATATTCTTGAAATCAATTTAATATGGAATACTTAAAACCAAAACAATAATAGGGAAACAGAAAAATAAAAACCAAGAAAATGTGTAGCTTTTTATTACATATTTTTATGTTGACCATCGTTATATTTTTTATAAGTTTTTTCTTTTTTTTTTTTTTTGAA